TTTGGGAGGTAGGGAGGTGACGGGACGGGGCAAGGATTATAATATTTTTATTTACCTCTACTCAGTTACTCAGATTTATATATTATTATTATTTTTTAAGTATGATTTAATTTGAAAATATAAAAATCTCTATCTCTTCTTCTTCTACATTATAAAAGAACACTAGTCTATGCTATGTGTGATGCACGAGTTGTGTATGAATTATGGTTTGGTTAGCGTATGTATTGAATATGTTTGAAAATATATGGGAAGATGGAATTATTGGCAAGGAACTAACCAGTTATACAAGTTGACCACTTGTCTTTCTTCCACAAAATGTCATTTTTCTACCAAAAGTTCCAGAATCAATAAAATTCATTAATAATGAGAATTCAAGCCATAGTTAGTCAAAGAAATACTCCACTGGACAATAAAAGCATTTCAAGCAAAAAAAGCTAGCACCATAGCAATACGTCCTTCAACAAATTATAATAGATATAAATGTATTATTGTACAGTAGAGACCTAATTCAAGGTAAAGCAGAAGTTAGAACCTGAAAATTCTAAAATTCTTCTTCAACGACTATTTTCCTTAATGAAATGTTGAGTACTCTTTAAAACACGGTTGTTCTACGACACTTAGATGTCCATTCGTGATGAGGAATTTGAGCAGTGTAACTAAACTTCAAGGCTCTTTATCGTTATACGATGCTCTGATAGATATTTCATTGACTCAACCTCTGTTGAATTCAAAAACTCCTTAACATTACTGAATACTACATCTAGTTCTGTCCAATATTGAGATTCAATATTTTTGAAATCTATAAACTTATCCTCTATACATAATATGTATGCTTCTAACAATACCCGGATTTTTCTTATCCACTTCAGAAGGAGGGATGAATATTATAAAAATGAAGCTCTCCTTCAAAGGAATCATCTTCTTTTAGAAAATCAGCCTTTTATTACATAGAATATTCTAAGCTGATGTTGTCGACTAAATAAACTAATTGTTGAATCTCAAGAAGATTAGGTAAACCAAGGTCACAAGTAAGCATATCCTGGAAGAAGTTACAAATTCACATACAAACTAACAAGTGATATCTTTACTCTTAGATTGGAAAAAAGTGTGTTATCAGTACTTCGAGAGAAGTGGACTATTAAAAATTAATAGAATGTAAAAATGTTATCTAGATTATGTACATATCTAAAGCATTTAGTCCTATGAGCAACAACTACTAAAATAGTTGTGGGAACGCAATTCTCAAGGGGTAAAAAAAAGACTCTAGCATTTAACAAGTTTGAAACAAATTGCTTCCTTGGGATAAACTATAATGCAAGATACTTACAAGATACCACCCTCCTCCATTGCCTTTCTTGTGGCAGCCACAATGGTTTTTATGTCCTTATCTCTTTCATTTAAACTAATAATTATATCTCCAGCTACTAAATCATTAATGTTCAAAACTATCAAATGAAAAAGTTGAACAGTGAATTGGGAAAAATAAAGAGTTATTCCAATTCTAGCTGCACTTTCACTGCTAAAAAAAGGATGTTTGGAACTATCCTGAACAAGATTCAATACATATGCCTGGAGATGTGAACAAAAACTTCAAAGCATTTACCATAGTACACTCAGCAACTTAACTCTAGGAGAGAATATCCAAGTCTTAATTCTTATGCTGGTGAAAATAGTTATAACTAAAGAGTAACTTAGTGAGAAACATCACTGGTAATTTGAAATGATTTTCTTTTATTAGTTACAGTTTGAGACAAAATGTTTATAAAGGTACAAAATTAATCTGTCTGTGTAAGATTTTTTTATGTATATAATGACTCATGAGATTGGTAAAATTTAAGACTGTGCATATAGTAAATAAAGGAAAAAGAAAGGTAAAAAAGTTAAGTTACGGATATGTAAAAATTAGAGGAAAAAGGAATAATGCACTAATTTCCATTAGTTTAATACTAAACAAAGTGAAAGAGGATATTCGGAATTAAATCCTCAAATGAAATGAAATTGAAAATCCAAAACTAAATTTAGTGACTAATGAATTCAAACAGCATTTTGAATTAGACTGAAATTTAAAGGGCACTCCCTCAAAATAATGGAAATACAAATAATCTTTTTTTCTTGTTAAAATAGAAGTACATTTTTTCGTGATGGATGGTCAATGAAGTTTGTAAGAAAGCCATCAACTTTAATAATTTGTGTAACTACATAATTTACTTATAACTAACGGGGAAGGAAGAAAATAAATAGAGAAGAAAGAGAAAAAGGAAATGAAGCATTTCTATTGAGACTTGAAGTTCGGAAATAGCTAATTTGTTCTAAAAAATTTTTACTTGCAATATTTAGTTAGTGAGATTTTCTGGTGAACAATACCTTGAAAGTCAATAAAAAAGCAAGAGAGAAGATAACAGCTAATCCTGCAATATTGAAAACAATAAATAGCATGCTTCAAATTTAATCATTTAAAAACTCCACAAGAATTAAATTGTTTTCCTTTCCTACATTCATTCCAAATTAAAAGTAAATATAGTATCAAAAAATTGCACAATACCCAAAAAAAAAAAAAAAAAGAATTGAGTAGTGGAGATTATAAAATAGTAACTATGATCAAAAGTAATTACAATGAAGATCGCGTAAATACGGTAAAATCGTAATGATGGACAGTTTATTTGACAAACTTCATATACATGTCATAGTGCTTTTATAATTTGAGTTCATATTCATATTCAAGATAACAAAGATAACAAAATCCAAACGCTTATTATTCAATAAATCATTTCAGTTTATCGATGTGAAATTGCAACTGGTAATTTTTGTCATTTCTGAAATCAAGTTCTCAGATTGAACAAGATTATTCCAAAAAAAAAAAAAAAAAAAAAACTTTTTACATTACCTGCAAGTAAAATATTAAATCCCCAATCCACTGAAAGCCCAGTGTTGAAATTAGGAAAAAAGCATATTGAGTTTGTTCTATTACAGTTTCTAACCACTGCTTTAAAGAAGGGGGAAATGGAACAAAAGAAACTTGCTCTATTTCAAAGTCAACAAAATAAAAATTGATGCCCCACCAAAACATAATCGTTACATATTCATTGCTTAGTATAGAAAAGCAAAATTACTGGCGAAATATCTAATCTTGAATGTGATGCGGAGAATTGCAGATGAAAGAGACAGTAGGATAAATGGAAGTGAAATAAGTTTTGTGGAAGAAAGAATCGGGTTGTGGTTTCAGTTGTTTGGGAGAGAGTGAAGATGGCAGAGCTTTGGAGAGAAGGGCGGACAGAGGAGAAAGGCTAGAATTCAATTGGAACGAGGTGTAATTGATCCTCTTTTTACAGAACCAGTTTGTGAACAGTAGACAAACCAGTTTAGGTGTGAAACAGAGGGTGCACAAATGAACAGTAAACCCTCATCCTCTCTTTTAATATAGTAGTTTATGAAGATTCCATAATACCTCCGTTATTATGGAGGCTCAAGCAAATACCTCCGTTATTATGGAGACTCGTGCTTTTGAGCCTCCATAATAACAAAGGCATTTGGAGGCATTATATGGAGGCATTATGGAGGCTCATATAATAACGGAGGCTCAAGCATTGAGCCTCCGTAATTACGGAATTTCAACACTTTCGAGCTAAATGCCTCCGTAATTACGGAGGTGCAAATTTCATATTTTTTCTTTCTTTTTCCTTCATTGACTCTCAAAAAAACAATTTAATTTCATTTAATTAACTTAGGTTTTTTAATAGATGTGATTCCTAAAATAAATATATAAAATATAGATCAATTTTTTTATATATATACAGAGATTATATAAATCATTCAAATGAACAGAAATGTAAATAAATGAAAGATATATTAACCACATTTCCAATCGTAACCTTTTGAGTGCAATCAAATAATGTGTGAAACGTGTTAGATAAAATAGTCACTCGCGTCGATAGTTCAATAATTTTTTTCTCCTTACTTTTGTTTTTGGGAAGAGTAAGATCAGACTTTTTCGGTAACATATTATCCATTTTTCCAACCAATGTTAACCTATTCTGCTATTTCTACACCCAACTCTATTTTCTCTCTTATTTACTAACATATTCCATCCACATTTCAATGATTCTCAAATATCTAAAATTAAACAATACAACACCATTCCTTTATTGGAACTCCTTAATTGAAATATAATGTTTATAAGAAATTTGCATACACATTATGGAAATAGATACATTGTTTCACCAAAACATATGTTTTATATTCATTTATATAGAAACCACCATATGCGTATATTTCATTTTATTTTTTTTAATATTTTGATACGGATCCATTGCATACCCAAAAAAAAAAAAACATTAACAACAAAAATTCGAAATGAAACCAATTCACACAAAACGCAGGAAAAAATCAATCAAGCTCCGTTAAATGAAATTGAGTTGTTGGCCACAAATTTCAATAAAAACAAGAATAAGAACTAAAATCAGAACAACCAGATCTCAATCAATCCATACAAAATATACAATAAATAATTTGTGTGGTAAAATGGAGAGAACAGACAGTAGCGTCTGAAAATGGAGAAGAAAAAAGAAAGATTCATCTAAATTGAGGACAAGTTGGTGCATCACTGTAGCCTGCACCTTTTTTTTTTTTTGGCCGTAGACGACGTCATTTTTGCTCTAGAGATGAACAAAAAAATTTGTTCTGAAATGAAAAAATCTACCGTTCTTTCTATAGTAGTGAAACATTCCCCTTTTTATATAGTAGTGAAAGTTAGTTACTATTCATATGCGTCATGCTACCATCTTGCTAATGTCATATTTTAATACTAAGGCCCGTTTGTTTTTCATTTATGTGAAAATAAGAATGAAAAAATATATTCGTTATGGGCCTCATATAAGAGATAGAAATTCAAATATGGTGATTTGATGTGATAGATGACGATCATATTTTTCATTTTAATGAGAAAAGAATGAAAATGGCTAAATTTATCCCTTTTTATTTTATCTCAAGCATGGCATTATTGCTTTTTGGTGCTGAAAGCAGGGTTCTTCCTTGAGTTCCTTCTTTCATCTCATTTCTTCTTCTCTTTTCTATTCCTTATAACCATGATTTTGTCTCTATGTTGTGTAATTTCTCCACTTTTTGGTGCTGACCATCCTAAAAGTTCTAATCCTCTATTTTTTATTTTCTTATTATTTTTGCAAAGGTTTGAAGTTTTCATAGATCAATCCAAAGAATTTGTGAAACAAGGTTCTGTGGTAAGTAAATATAGATTTCTGCCATGAATTGAAGGTATGGTGGTTCAATTTTACTGTATGGTTTCAGATTTGCAAGATTTTTTTATTCTGAAATGAAACTTTAACTTGTGAATTTCATGGATTCAGTTCTTTCGCACATGATTTCATGCTTATGAAAGTTCAGCTCTTTTACCGTCTTCATTAAGACATGCCTCTAAATAGTTGTATTTGATGGGAACTTTCTTAATATGAAGTTCTTAGCTCAAAATAATTGAACTAGTTTATGCATCTCAAGCTGTCTATTTGACATTCATCAGTGGCTGTTAATAGTTGTTATTATACGACATATCTATACATGATTCTTTGCTTTTGAATATTCTTGAGTTTTGACTCTCTCTCTACAAATTCACTTTGTGTCGAAATGGGGTTTACTAATCCACTGTCTTTGATTTATTTTTCTTTATCTTTTTCCTGTAATTTTTTTTTTAAATAACTTATATGTTGCTTACTCCGCAGGGCTGGTCATTTTCTGATGTAATGTTTGTTACTAAGCACAATATGGAAAATTCTGTTGCATCTGTTTGGTAGCAGTTAGAGCATGTTTCTGACGCTTTTTCTATAAGTAAAATACTATAAATAAATTTTGATAATTTTAGTCACCTTTCATTTTAATCATATGTATTATGTGCTCATTTCACTTTCCCTGCGGTCAACAATAGGCATTTGACAAAGAGATTGGATTTGGATTGAATGGTGGATGAGCCGAGGCAAGCACCAATGCTTATTGTAAATGATGTATTACATATCTTGTTTTTGTCATGATAATTTTACTTTTGCAATTACACATGCTACAATGGCTTTTTAAATCGTATGGTTCATACATTTATGGTTTCTTCAGATTCAAAGATTAACTTCTGCTTTGATGAAATTTAATAATATGAATGTATCATTAAGATTCTTTGAGCATTGACTACAATGAGAGAAACATCTTGGAGTTTTCAATGGTTAACTTCCGCTTGGATGAAATAAAAACTATAACATTCAAATTTAATAGTATGAAGATGTCGTTGAGATTGTTTGAGCATTGACTACAATAAGAGAAACATCTTAGAGTTTTCAATGGTTAACTTCCGCTTGGATGAAATAAAAAACTATCACATTCGTATTTAATAATATGAAGATATCATTAAGATTCTTTGAGCATTGACTACAATGGGAGAAACATTTTAGAGTTTTCATTGATGCCTCTTACCTGAACCAACAAGGAAAAAACTAAAGAATATTTAAAAGAAAACACTACAGAAACAAAAAGAAGAAAAATAGGTAAATGTCGAAAATATCATTAGCTGCACTACATCAATTGAACCTCAAAACATTTTATAAGCTTTGTGCATGACATGATTTTAATATTCAATCTCATTAGTTCTCAAATATTGGGCAGATTTCTCTGAAGTGAAAGAAGATCAAAAGTCTTGACAATTCAAAAGATTCATTAACTTTCTCTTTGTCGTTTAATTGCGTGTGAGCATAGATTGAGTTACAAACCTATGATGCTCATCTGTGTTCATATGTTTGCTGAACTTTGGGGTTTCTTAGTGTGGAAGTTCAATGGATGAAAATAACAATTACTACACAACTTGCATCAAAGCAAATGTATTCTCTTTGATCGATACTATTACTAATATTATGCAGGTAAGCAAGGTTAGATCTAATCTTAATCATATTGTTTATGACATTAATTTAATTCATGAGATGGTATCCTGCTTGGTAAGCTCTCACAGTGCTTTAAGTTCAATTGATTTGTTTAATAGTATCACCATAATCAATGTTGCTTACTATTATGCTCTGGGGTTGAGGACGAGTTTTTAAAATACATTTTACTTTTCCATTTTTAGGTTTTGCATTTCCAGTCTTTCTTTGTTTTCCTTAATTTCTATCTACTCATATTCAATGTTGCTTACTGTTATGCTCTGGGGTTGAGGGATGAGTTTTAAATATACATCTTACTTTAACTTTTTGGATTTTGGATTTTCAGTCTTTCTTTCTTACCCTTAATTTCTGCCTATTGTCATCATTTTATAAATTACTTGCTATTGTTTTCTTGTGTATGTCAACACCTCTTTAGGAAATGTAAGATGTTACTTTGTTGTTTATTTATCCTATCTACTATTATAATTCAGTTCTGCTGCTTATGCTATTAATTCTTCATTTAGCTAATGGTAGTAAGGTTTTTTTTGAATTGCTACCTGAGTAGGATAATTTGTAATAATTAGATGAATGAAAAGTTGGTGATATTGATGACTTATCGCTTCATTGAAGTAAAAAACAGTTGGCATATGTTATAGAAGGATATTTTGCAAGTGGGATTGGAGTTTGAATAGAAGTTAGCAAAATTGGAGGAGTTTATGCTGGTAAATTTGTATGGTCTCAGAATTGATCTCTCTATAGGATAAAATTTAAGCAGATTATACAATAAGAAACCTTGGGTTCTTTTTGGTATTTTTTACTCAATGATTTGATCTTTACGACTCTTGGCTGTCTTTTGTATATTATTTTAACACAGAATGCTTTGAGAATGCATTCCACTTAATTTGATCAGCCAACATAATTCTAACATTATGTGAATAAGATCACAGTAAATAAAAGGGCCATTACACGTAATGCGGCATATTTCATTCATATAATTCATTATTCTCATGTTGACTCTTTCTTTCTTTCCTTTAAAAAAAAAAAAAAATAATAATAATAATAATAATAATTGACTTAGTCAGCTAGAGTTCTTTGGAGATTTTTTTTTCCCTTTTAACGGCATTGATTGTGGATATGATGTAGATATGGTTGCATAATCATAGCTAGCTTTTGAACATAGGGCATATGGCTTACTTTTGTTTTTATATTGAGTTAGGATTTGTGATGAGTAAAATGATTGCAAACAATTTTGATTTGTTGGGTTTTAATAGCAGATGAAGTTTTATTGGATGGTAAGAAGAAGAGTATATATGATAGGTACGGTGAAGAGGGGGGGACTTAAGCAGCACGCTGTCAATGGTGGTGGTACTAGGTGATTTGGCGGAATGAATTTTCAAGATACTTTTAGCTCATAAGTTTATGCCTTTTTTTTTTCTTTTTTTTTTTTTGTACTTTATTTTTCCTTGGCATATTTTATTACTATCATTTTGATGTTTTAAATCTGATGAATGGAAATTTTAAAGGTTTTATGCTAAATTGATGGTAAGCATAGGTGTTGCTGATATTTGTCCTTGAGACAAAATTAACTTCCAATATAATTTTGACACTTTAAATAACCTCAGTTTTATAACAGTTTGCAATGCTATGACAATGCAAGTGTTCTTTTCATATTACGACTTCAAACAATTTGAATTATGTCCAACCTGAATTGAATAAAACTTTGTCATCATTGTGTAGCTCCTTTATAATTAATTTAAGAAACTATTGATTTCTAGGTACAAATGTTCGATCCAATAGGTGTTTTTGTTATCTGCATCCATTTCTGGCAATATCAATTATATACAGTTTTGCACTATTGAATTTTTGAAGGAATATGTTCGTTTATACATTTTCTTGTTCCTCACTATACATTAATATATAATTTCGTCACACATACTAATTATATCAAGTGTCTATCTCTATGCCTGTATGCCCTTTGGTCTATTTGTTTTATATTATTTAAGCATTTTCATAAACTAAAAGTTTCTCCTTTTCAAATGAAACGGAGACTTTAGAATGGAGTTTTTCATGGCATTAATGGGATCCTTTTAATTCAATTGAAATCAAAATAATATTAATATCATCACTCATTCCATGAATATGTGTGGAATAGACAAAATGAGTTCCGCAGCGATTTCATTGTTTTAGAGTGGAGAGAAATCTCCCACTGTTGTCTATAGAGGGAAGCTTCGAAACTTAAACCATAAAACCCAATGTTGTGCCTAATTTATTGAACTCAAAACATATTTGAATGTTCAAAAAATATAAACCATAAATCTTGTTTTGATGTTCTAATATAATATAAAAGTACATGAATCAGTCTATATAATTAAATATTTAGATTTTGTAAAATAATTTGCCATTTTAACAAAATTCCTTCTAAAATTATGACGTTAATTGTGCAATGCATGATCCCCACTCGTAAAATAAAAAGTATGATCTGGGGTGTTGACTGTGTTTCCCATGGACCCATTCCGATTCAAATTCTTTGATGGGGCTAGGGATAAGAGAGAGATTTTATCATTGAAAAATTATTAATTTGTTATGTGGGTCTATATATGTAATTAATTGTGTATAAAATCTATTTTAATGTTAAACCCGATCAAATAAGAAATTTTGGGCATCTAAATTAAATGTAGGCCTAAATATGTGTGGAGGCTAGATTTTTTTAAAATTATATTTTATGCTGGACAAAATGCATAGGAAACTATACATAGGATTATGGTATCCAATTCATATATAATTCTCATTCTTTATGTCATCTCATCAACATAAGAATACAAGAGAAAACATATCGAAGAGGAAGATTCAAAACCCACAATCAAGATTAAAGAATTACAATCAAGAATCAAGAAAAAGGATCGAAGCACTTAAATTGAAGAACAAGGCAATCAAGACTGAGAGCAAGAAGCCATCTGGAGGAGATTGCAAAATGATCTTCAAGATATAAAGTCAAGGATCAATGTATGTTCCACATTAATTAATTGTCTTGGTGATCTGAAATGGAAATCTTGTTAATTTATAGAGTTTAAGTTTCATAAAGATTCAATAAGTGGTATCAAAGCCAAAATATGTTAAACCATTGAGATTAAATGAATATCTTCAAGGTTGAAATTTAATTTAGTTTTCTAAATTTTGGGATGTAAATTTAAAACCCTAAATTTCAATTTTTTTGGGATATTTTGGAAAAATTCTGGTTTATAACGGCAACTGCGACGGATGCGGCGCCCGACGACGGCCATTCAAGTAGCATGGCGGTGCCCAGCTCTAGCAATGGAGTTCTGTCCATTTTTATTTATTTATTTTGTTAAAACAAAACAAAAAGAAAAAGAAAAAGAAAATAAAAAAGGACAATCATTTTAAAATCTTTACTTAGAGCCCGTTTAGTAGTCATTTTTTTTAAAATGTATTTTTTTCTCTCTTCTTTTTAACCACACATTTTTTATTAAAATAATATTACACGTAAATAAAAAAAAATTCCTTATTTTTCAACCATACATTTCACATCAATTGACTATTCTAAAATGCATTTTTACGTAAAAATGCTTATCAAACACCCCCTTAAATTTATTTCGGATTACTAATTTTTTAAAATAGATTAGTTGAAACAACGTATTACCAAAGTAATCTCTTTTGTCTAAATTATTTTATATAGAATATTAAGATGGTTGGGAGTATGTAATTCATACAGATCCGCACAGGCCCAAGGAAAGTTAAATATTTGACATAATTACATACACACCTATGGTAATGAATATGAAACAACTATAAAGTTTTGGTTTACGTGAACAATAAATCGATTCAAAAATATGTTTATTGATTGACATGGTTTATTGACAATATTTGATTATTACATTGAGGTTACAATTTACAATTTGATATTTCTATCCAAAGACTAAATATTAATGTTGTGTTCGGTCTCTTATAATGTGGTTCACCATTATTTGAAATTATTAATTGTCCAATACGAATTCTCATGTGAACATGTTATTTAAGTTTAAGTTCTCTATTAAGCTAATTCATCTATTTTCCAATATCCGTCGACGTTAATTCAATTTCTGTTCTTAAAGAAACCAAATTTTAAGGGCATGGATCTAGACATTGTGTTAAAGATTGAACAACCAACTACTCTTAAATCTGATCGTTCAAGCCACATAAATCTT